TGATTATTCAACCAGCTCATGTTCCATAGATGAGAACCTGCCCCTTTTTATTTGACTGCATTTAAATTTTTCAGCATGATGCTCAAAAACAATTACTGCCTTCTGCAGAAAAAAGAGCTTTTGAGTTTGAGGGAGCAATTTCTTAAGGCTCATACTAAGGAATGTTTGGCCATGTAATAATTCTGAACTGAAGCTTTCTCATTTAAAGAAAAAACAGCTCCAACAGAGGTGAGACCTAGTAACAGCCAACATTTTCTTTAGGTCTGTCTCATTTTTATTGCTGTTTTATCCTGCTCTTTACTTACTCAGCTCTACTGTCATTGCACAGATGAACAAGCTGGGTCCTACCCCATAGGTATCAAGTGTGTGGATGTTAACAACAAGAAGAGCTCTGAGCACACGAGATCTAGAATTTGTCATCTGGAAATGAGAAACATGTTGGGTGCAACTGTGGCTCCACTGTGATGAACAGTAAAACTTTTCATTTGATTTCATTAAGGCCAAGAGGAGTAGACCTCGGAAGGAAAGAGATGTTCCCTCTGAGAGGCTTTTACTAGGGGTCTTGGAAAATGGTATAGCCGAAACCATTAATAATGAAGGAAAGTGCAGGTCTTTATTCTTAACCTCTTTTTGCCTCAGATAACCTATTGTGTAAATGATGCCTATTTTCCTAATCGATGTGTTAAGAGGATGAAAGGGATAATGCTGTTTCTAAAAGCCCTTGCTTCTCTTTAGAAATTATGTACCTATTATTCTTTTTAGCAGCTGGGCTAATTAAAAGAGGAGCTAAAATACATCCCTGTTTTAGTTTTACTCAGTGCGCTTACTTTATGGGTCGCAGACCTTTGCTAAATAATTAGACTGCTTCTCCTATAGAGTCAGTTAGCATCCTTTCCTGGCCATTAGCGTGTGCTTTCACACAGTGGTAAGAGTAGGGGGGGAGAAACCAGAAAGGATTTCCATTAAAAAAAAAATCAAAGCCAGTGTGTGAACACAGGGGGAAACCAACTATACTAAGCTGAATCTGTCCACTTAATAAATGTGTGTTAACTCAACTGTCTTTTTTGTCCCAAATGCAGGATTGTGTTGAAAGCAGACTAAACTACTACAGAAAGTATATTCTGTTTAAGAAATGCATTGAAAGCCTGTTTAGTGTAAGTACAACTGTGTTCTGCTGGATGAGACCACTGTTGTCTTAAACTCTACCTTTTTAACAATTCAGAATATGTTTCACATAGAAAAAAAGGCTAATGCGCATTCTCCTTTGATTCAGGAATTGAGGTCTGCCTAATGTTTTCAAATAGGAGGGTCTCTATTCCAGGTTTCCTGTTGTCATACAGTGTTTAGTAGCTATAAATTCAGAAATAAATAGTTCTGAAGTTCTTCCTGTAGGCTGTAGGTTTGCTTCATCGTGCTCCTACAGTAGTGCTTTTTTTACATTTGTAAGCTTCTATTCTTAACTAGGCTATGACAAACAAAGCATAAACTCCTGACACTTCTACTCCAAGGAGAGAACTGTTAGTTCAATAAAAAGATTATTTTTGAGGTCTCCATCAGGTCCTTAACAGGATTTCCCATGTGACTTCCAAGGCTTGTACTTCTCTCCACACTGCTTTGTTTTGCTTTGTCTGTGATAAAAATCAAGTAACTCCGTGTAACTAAAAGGAAAGCCAAATAAAAATTGTGCTTCCTATTTGTGAGGTCTAGACTTTGCCCATCTAATTGCTGTAATGGTGGGATAATGCAAAAACAGCATTAACACAAATAGCTCTAGGGTTTTCTATTTCCAGTCTTAACTGAAAACTGGACTGTCAGTACTTTCTACACGTTAAAGCCTCAGTAATCTCACTACTGCTCAGCCAACGTTTCCTCAGCTGTGATGCCTAACCTGTTGGGTTGTGGCATTCCCACCATTTTCCTCTTTCAATAAACCTGCATGCCCTGCAGGCCCTCCTCTTGCCTGCTCCACCCTATGCTTCCACAGGACTGACAGGTAGCCCCAGGGTAGGATGCTTGTTGCTGCTGGAAACTTCCCCTTCCCTTTATTCCTACATTTCAGCAGCCCTTGTTCACTGGTGGTAAGCTGCATCGTGCAAAATAGAGCCATACTCCATACCTCCCAAGTCGAAATTCTGCTCCTTTTCCCCATTTTCTTGTAGCAAACCCTTCTATCCCCTCCTTTCCCTTTAGGGACAGACCATAAAAATTATGCTAGTGTGACCAGGAAGAGATTTTGCTTGCTTTGTGCTGCAAGACAAGGAACAGAAACAGGTAATAAATTTAGCACTTTTGAGTTAGTGACAGCCTGGATGAGGTTAGAGAGCCCAGACTTTGCTAATAGGGTCTGGGGGGCAAAGCTAGACTTCTTCAACAGCGGAGAATATTTGGGAATCTGTGGAGAAGAGGCAGCTACATGACCACATAACACGAGAATATGCTTGTGTTATAAACATGGAGGAGTGATGCTGGACCTGTTGTGAGTGGTTGCTTGCTGTAATGGTGCGAGACCTGGATCACATTGGCAGTTTTACTTCCTGTTAATGTTGTCCAGACAGAAATCATCCAGACAGGCAGCAGCAAAACCCCTGAGCCTCCATCTCAAATTTTACTCCTTACGGCTCCCCAGGGATGTGTAGCCCAGCCCTAACCAAGGGCTGCAGATGCCCTCAGGCAGCCAGCCCCCTGTCCCTGCTGACAGCTTGTCTCCCTGCCCGGTGGCCTGCCTCCCCACTTGCCCTGCACCTCATCCCTGGTCCTGCAGGAGGGAGAGGGGCACCCACGTCCCCACGGGAGCTCACACTGCCGGCAGCGCCCACGCCGCACTGCAGTGCTGAGGGCTCCCTCTGGGTTGCTGGAGGGGCAGGTGCTGGGCACTGGCAGGATAACAGGGGCTGCTGGGAGCCCTCTGAGGTGGCCTCAGGGTCGAGAGTGAGTAACCCCAGATTTTCTCCAAAAAAGAAAGCAAACCTCTTTTCATTTGTCCATGCTAGGAACCTAAACATGTGAACTGAAGTAACCCATTTGCTAAGATTGAATGCATCTGGATACATCTGAGTGCATCTGGCCTCCACTTCTCTAGACAGAGGCTGGATGGGGAGGGGAAGAGAAGTTGGGAAGGGTTTAGATAGGGAGAAACACACACAAACACACATATATTTTTAAGGAAATATGAGTCACTTGCACTTCAAGCTTATTCCAAAAATCAATTCCCAGACCTCCCTGACTCCTGCCCCCAAGTCTTGAAGCAAGCCCTGTGCAACTGGGTGTGATAAATACGGATAAAAATTGGATACATCTGTGGGGAGGAGGCAAAATGCTCTTTTCCAACCTGCCCTGACATGCTAAGGCCACCACACTTTTGAATCCCTCCCCTGCCTCTGAGTGCCCCCGCCGCCGCTGCCGAGGGGAGCTCCTGGCTGCCCCTCATGCTGCCAGCTCTGTGCCGGGCACTCCACCAGCAGCAGAGCAGGGGAGGGGGCGAGGGGGATGGCCCTCCTCCATGTGTCCCCCAGGCCCTTGTCTCACTGCTCCTGGCGCCTGTGGAGCTGGTTTGGGGGGGAACCAATGTCCTCCCTCGCAAGCTCGCATTGCCTGTCGTTGTCCTTCCTCCTGCCTCCCCTCGTCGCTGCTGCCGAGGGGGCCCCCGGCAGCTCAGTGTCTGCCCACTTCTCGCCATGAGAGACGTGCCGTCTGTCCCCTCAGCAGGAAGGATTCGTTGCCCATCGAGCCACTGGACAGCCGCAGCCCATGCCTAGGGCTGCTTTGCCACCAGCAGGACTATTTATTTCTGTGCCACTCCAGCACATGGCACGGAGCGCGGCCGGCGTGCAAGGTGGCATGTGGCTGAGGGGCAGGCCACCACGGGGGACAAATCGGTGCATGTGGGACAAAGGTGTGGAGAAGCAATCTGTGCTCGTGCCCCACGGGGAAGCTCTGGCAGGACGGTGCTGGTGGCCGGCCTGGCAGGCAGACATCCCTGGCCACCACCCATCACCTGCACCCTGGGCCCCAGGGTCTGGCAGGGAAGGGCACTACAGAGGCAGACCCTGGTGAGGTGGGCTCTGAAGTGCTGTCCTTGACGCACGTTATTTATAGCCACCACAGCTGAAGTGCCTGCATACCTGACAGCTCCCCGGTAAGAGTCACTTACCTTGCCAGGAGTGCTGCCACTGGCGGCAGCTTGAAGGGTGGGTGATTTGAGGGCACCTCACCGCCCCGTCCTTAGGGCTGCAGCTCCCCAGAAGGCAGCCTGCGACGCTGACAGCTAGCTGCTGCAAGCAGCTCCAGCCACCTCCAGGTGTGAACAGCCCACGTTCGTGGCCATAACAACAGCAAATTTGCACTCGGTAGTAAATGCTTTTTGCTTAACCTTGTTAAGAAGAAACCTTACATGCTGGTTCAGCTGAAGCTGGAGTCAGGCTTGAGTATAAAAAAGATCATTCTGCTTTAACGAGGCTTCCCCTTCGAAAGAATAATATTGGCAGAACTAAAGCCCAGATCGGAAACAATGTGTGACTTTTGTTTTCCTTTTTTTCCCTTCACTTTTTTCCTCCTTTGCCTTCATTCTTGGTGTTGGGGCTGGAGAGGAAAGTCTCTGTCTTGCCAAACTAAACAAATTACGCTTTACAATTCAGAGACTTAAATGCCTCTTTTTATCATCATTTCCTTAGCACTGAGCGTTGAGAAAATAAAGCAGTAGTAAGTGAAGTGATTGCATACCCTTTTCTTGATGGCCATTGGCAAAAAAATCCAGCCAGTTGTTTCGCTTTAAGGCTATTAAGTTTGCCTGGAAATCATCCCTGGGCAAACCTCCCCCCACACACACTCCATACCAGCAAGAAAAAAAAATAAATAAAGCAGATCCCCTTCTTTCTATTATTACCATTCCTGCAGATCTCTCTACCTCCCATGACAGTGCATGAGATCAAACCCCTCTGACCACACTTAAGGAAAGGGACTCATTCGGCTGTGCCGGGGACGCACACATTCACTTACGGTACCTCTTGGCAAGCAGGAGATGAGCAGGAGCTGGAGGAGAGTGAGTCCTACATGTGTCCAGGGGGCTCGCTCCATACTGCCCAGGCCAGTGCAGCGGTGTGACTGCTCGGGAAGGGAAAGCAGGCAAACAGCTTTTACTGGGACCTCACCAGCTCCAGGCTGCGAGGGATCTCGGATTTCAGACCTCAGCTCGCTCCCATCCTCACCAGAGGGGAACTACCTTCAAGAGACTTCTCAGGCGTCCAGAAGCACGACGTCACCCCAAACCTCTCCAACTGCTGCCTTAACCCTTTCTGGACTCTGGCAGCCAATCCCTTTTGTGATGGGTTTGTTGGCTCAGTGCTCAGCTCTGAGATAGCGATTTTCATCTCAGAAAGAAAGATAGTGTAAAGGGAGAAGAAACAGAAATGTGAATATCTCTTTATATGAGTCATCCCAGTTGCGGTGGGTGAGCTGAAGTTACAGACATCTCCAGAAGGAGGCACTTCGTACATGCTGCCCTGGGGCTTGCAGGGGTTGGCACATCCCCAGGGTGCTGCCCCTAACAGCAGGTCTGGGCATGGGGTGGGTGCAGAGGGGGATGCTGGCCCACGCTCCCCTCACCGGGCAGCTGGCCAAGTGGCATGTTCCCCTGCACAACATGCTTAAAATAGCCGTGCATTCTTAATGGTGGGGCCGATGAATGAATGAAGCTCACTAGAAGTTCACAGCAGATGAAAACCACAGAACACAAAAGGAATCACTTGGCATACACGCGCTCAAGCTAGTCACAACCTTTTTACAGAGTCCATTTCTGCCAGGAAATGTGATTTTGGCAAAATTGAAATGTTTTGTCGGAACATGTTGATGTTGAGGAAATGTTCAATCCAAACAAAGGAAACCATTTATTTTGGATTTTATCTTTGTGTCATATTTTGTTTTCCCTTTTCTATTAGCACATGATACTGATTTTATCTGGTCTTCAGCCCATGTTTCATAGCAGTATATTTCATTTTTTCTAATATTTTTCTTGCACAATTTTTCAATACTATCCAAAGGAAATTTTTCATAGTTCTAAATCAAACTTTCTCAATTTCATTTCTGTAGGAAGTTTTCAAAATTTACATATATCAGTGGGGGGAGGGAAGTTGAAATATTGTCATTTGCTTCAGAGTAGAAAGTCAAGTATCTCAGAAAGCTTTAACAGATACCTACAGCTGTTTGTAAAGCTCTTAGGCATGTTGAGCAACCTCAAAAATTTGAGAGCAGTAGCCAATGGAAACCTTGAGTACTTTATTACAGTGGAAAATCCATTACAATTTCAGGTGGTCTTTCACAGGGTGAATTCCTTTATCCAGACATCTCTCTAGGTTATGCTTGTCTGTCTACCAACCTATTGACTTTTAACTGTGAACAGTCTTTGTAGTGTTTGTCCTCCTTTCATATCATACAATACCAAAGTATTCATGATTATTCATGATCTTTTTTCTCTACATCTCTTAACACTGATGCAAACATACCTTTGAAAATACTAATATAAGAATACCAGAGATAGATGCCAAGATTTTAGCCATCATGGTACATAGTGCTACTCAGAACACGTCAACATAACATGGTCCTTGAAGGACATTTTGCACTTAGCTGTCATTTGACTTTTTGCCTGGCTCCCAGCAGTGGAACCAATGCTAACTGCAAATACAGTAACAATCAGCCAATAAACATATAGCTTCCACACCTCAAACACCATCTTTATAGCTGTTTCAGTCTGATCTATAGATACTAATTGTGGTGGGTTAACCTTGGCTAAGGGCCAAGCTCCCACCCACACACTCACTCACCGCCTGCCCCCACCCCGCTGCTCAGCAGGACAGAGAGAGAAGGTAAAATCAGGGAAGCTGGTTACCAGTTACTGTCACAGGCAAACCAGACCCGACTCAATTTATTGCTAATTAAAATAGATTTGGGTAGTGGGAAACAAAAATGAAAAGTAAAACAACACATTGTCCCCCCCTGCTGTCCCAGGGTAAACTTCACGCCTTCACTCCCGACTCCTCTACCTCCCCCCCGAGCAGTGCTGGGGGACGGGGCACTGGGGCTGGGGTCAGTCCATTGCAGCTCTTCTCTGCTGCTCTTTCCTCCTCCCTCACACTTCCACCCTGCTCCAGCATGGGCTGTCCGCAGCCTGCAGTCCTTCAGGAAATGCCCATCTGCTGTGGCGCGGGGTTCTCCAGGGGCTGTGGGGTGTATATCTGCTCTGGCGTGGGCTCTGGGGGCTGCAGGAGAACCCCTGCTCTGCCTGGAGAGCTTCCTCCCCCTCCTCCTTCTCTGGCTGTGCTGTTTGCAGGGCTGTTTCTCACTTTTTTCCTCTCTCCTTCTGCCTGTCTGACGTTTTTTTTTTTTGCCCACCGGTCGTGGTTTGGGCCTGGTTGGCAGCCAACCACAATGCAGCAGCTCTCTCTCCCTTCTCCTCCGGCAATAAGAAGGGACAGAGAGCCAGGCTTGGGGTTCGAGATAGGACTGGGATGGGGGAAAATCCCCCTTTTATGATCACGAGCAAAAGGCAGACTCGTTAGGGGAAGAAAAACGGAACATATATTTATTATAGACACTAACAACACATAACAGAGTAGGACAGCGAGAAGCATTGCCACATCTTGAGAACACCTTCCCCCCACCCCTCCCTTCTCCCCAGGCTCAGCTCTGCTCCCGATATCTCTACCTCCTCCCCCAGGGGCGCAGGGGCAGGGAATGGGGGGTGCAGTCAGTGCTGCCACTTCCTTCATCTTCGGTGAGGGGAGTGTCCAAAACTTGTTCCCCCTGCTCCATCGTGGTCCCCCTCTCACAGCAGACAGTCCTCCACAAACTTTCTCCAACAGGAGTCCCTCCCACGGGCCGCAGCGTTCCCCACACTGCTCTGTCGTGCGTCACCAACTTTCCCCGACTGGATTCCCTCCCACGGCTGCAGCCCTTCCCGAGCTGCTCCGGCGCGGGACTCCCCCGCATGCTGCAATCCTCCCAGCGCTGAATTACAGCAGCGGGGCTGCCTTTTCCCATGAGACCCCGGCCTTCTTCAGGCACAGAACCTTGATCAACAAGGCAGAAGCCACAGGCCATAAATCAATGTCTGCTCCACCGTAGATCTCCATGGGTGGCAGGGGGGGCCGCCCTGCCATCTCCCCACAGGATACAGGGGGGTCTCTGCTCCGGCACATCTCCCCCCTCCTTTCTTCCTCCATTCCTCCACTGACCTCGGTGTTCACGCAGCTGCCGCAACTCCTCCTCACCAGTCCTACTGCCCATCACCATGTCCCTTCTTAAATACGTTATCGCAGAGGCGCAGCTGATGGGCTCAGTTTTGGTGCAGAGGTGGAGCTGACTTGGAGCTGGGGGAGCTTCGAGAAGCTTCTCACAGGGGGCCACCCCTATAGCCCCCTCCCCTGCTACCAAAAAACTCCCCCACTCACTCAACCCAGGACACCGCCCTTAAACACGCTTTCCCCAAGGTGCCACCAGCCTGGCTGAGGGGCTCAGCTGAGGAAGATCCAGCAGTTGGAACTGTCTGGAACCGGCTGGAAATGCTGGGCATGGGGCAGCCCCCACTGCCAGCACCTCGCCACGGACACCCGTAGAGTAATTTAGTTTCCACACACCCCTATATTGCATAGTAGCTCCTGTTCTGCACCTCTGTCATCACAGGCAAAATGTTCATGGCTTTTGTAAAAGGTGAAGAAACAAAGGCTGTTGAGCAGAAATCTCTCTATGGGAAACAGACTGTTAAGGCCAGACATAGAGGACCTAATATTTAGGTTTCTCATAAAGGCCAGAACCATTGACAAAAACACACCCACAAAGGCCACAGCTGAAGTTGTGTTTTTGTTCTGTACAAGGAGCAGCTCTGCAGGGACACCTCTTTTAGGGTTAGCTTAACTTAGCTTGGCACCTTGCAAAATCAGTGTAGATGTGGATCCACTGCCTCCTTAGAAAATGGCTCAGCAGCCAAAGAAGTGAATTCAGCCATGATCCCACAGATTTGCACATGGCCTATTTACATGAGTTTTCTGGTGGGATGTAGCTTTAGCCCCAGGCGTTACTCTGGGCAACTTACTTGCACAGTGCTCCTGAATGCACTTCTTCCATTCCTATTAAGAGGCAGGGACCAAACCAGGCAGATTGCACTGGCCAAATATTTCAGACGGTATGTAATCCTTCGTAAAAGAAAGCTAAAAGCTCTTAACCATGTGTCTGTGCTGCTGAGGAATCTCGTTGTAGCATTTGGCTGCGATGTTTGTATCTGCCCTATTGCTGAACATACTTAGAGTACAGGTTTGAAAATCACATTCCACTGAAACTGAATTGTAAAACAGAGTGCTGCAAAATGGATAGACTTATCATATTTTAATAGTAATTTTAAAGTACCTAGCAAAAATTGACCACTGAATGAAAAAAATAATGTGTAATTAATACCACTAACTTGCACTTCTAATAATCCACCATCAAATCTGAGACGTGAAAACACTGTGTGGTCCAGTCTGCAAGAACAGAAAGAACACCACCGTTTTATCTTGGGGAAAAACTGATCTGAAGGGAAATGGGCTGAGATTCTTATCCTGAAGCAGTGGCGGTTCAAGAAGAGAACACTAACTTCACCCCATTTGGTACTTGAAGCTCTGGACTCTCCTGCTTGAGAGGACTCAGTGAAGAATAATTAGGGATTAATGTATAGTTCTGAATAAAATCAATTTGGACTTGGAGTAAAATCACTGTCTCAGAGCCAGAAGGACTTTTTTTTTTCAGTCTGAAATTTTCGTGAACTTTTTATTTTCCCCCATTTTCACAAACTACTGAAATATCTCATTTGTGTAACTGGAACATTACCAGAGAACTTTCTTCTTTTGAGACTTCTGCTCAGATGATTTCATCCCAAATGGCCCTGATGATCTTCCAAAGCTCCAGAGGTTCTGCTGGAAGGAAGTCTGTGATTTTCTATGTTATTCAGTGATGCTACTACAGACTGGATGCCTTCACAGGACATCCTTCTTGCAAGAACATTTGGAGCCCATTTCTCTCTCTCTTCTCACAGGCAAGATTCCTACTGAAACTAGTGGAGACTTGTGCCAAAGAAAGAATTTGAATCATCTGAGATCAAACGTGCTTCCATCAGGGTTGGTGGAGTTAGGTCTTGAACTTCAGTGACTGTCCAATAATGCCCATGCCACTCAAACAAAATCTGAA